GGAGTGGTGTAACGGAGCCATTTCAACTGTCTGGTGTATGAGTACACACAGGGCCCGGTTACATGCTGAGAGTTATTGTTAGAAGCCAGTTGCACGGTGATATGCAAGTACCGGCAGTGTGGTTAGCTACCAGCTGTTAGAGTAACTACATTCCGGGCGCTAGGAAGAGGATCTATTCATGGGAGCAATGACTGACGAGTCTATGCCTCGCCAGTGACTAGAAGACCGGCCAGAGTGAAGCTCTGATTGACCGGTGATCCTCTGTATCCTCGGTGCATTGTAAGTCCGCCGAAGGGCAGGGACTATGCTAGGGAAGTCTACAATAAGTGAAAGCTCTACAGCAATGATTAAGCTTACACCTGAGCGGCAGCTCATTCATGCAGGTCCTCAGTTGTGGGGCAACCAAGGCTGCAGGTGTTACAAAGGCTTTGACTAAGGGTGGTTGCCTTGGGTATCGGAAACACCTGCTGACGCTTAGAGAAAAGCGGGGTAGCGGTGGTATTGTTTCCGGTACTGAGGGAAGGCCCACCGGAACTTAGTAAAGGAGTTAGGAGCAGAGAACAGAGGCCTTCGGAGTATAAGTACTCAGGTTCATTCCCGCCCTTCAGTCCTATTCTCTCCAGTCTTGATCAGAAAGAAAAACCAAGTTCTTATCGGTAGCAGAGCCCTTAAAGATTATTGAGTTCTAGCGATAGTATCTTTGAATAATCTGCAACCTGATTGTCTATCTTGCACGGCCGTCTCTATTCTATCTTATTCTATTTCTCTTAGAAGAGACCCCCGTTACAAACATCTTCATTTGCTCTTGATAAGCCTCGTGAGCCTTGCCGGCTCGTTCCAACTGTTGGATCTACTCGGAGTCGTCATCGGTTGGATCGAAGCGTGAGTGGCGCTCTCGAAGTTCATTAGGTAGCCCTTGGAGCAGGGCGGCACGAGAGGATGCTCCTTTCATTTGAGCATGCTGGTTCATAATCTCCATCCTCATCAGGTAGTCGCCGATGTTAGCAGAGTACTTGAACTGCTGCATCTTCATCGCGTTTTCCATAGCCTCCTGAGTGCTTAAGAAGCGTTTCCTGATCTCCTGACGGAACCGAGTCCAAGTAGCGTAGTCGGCAGCTGCCGGACCTAGCATCTTGGTCTCGATATACTCCATAAACCATTCCTTTGCCAACCCACACGTATACGTTCCAGCGAACAGCACCTTGTTTCTGTCCGTTCGGAACTTCTTGGGCTTCTGCTCGAAGTAGATCTCGCACTCCATGAGCCAATGCCGCAGGTTGTGCTTCCTGGCATTATCGAACTCAAAGGGTATTTTGGCAAGCGAGTCTACCATACCGTCATCTTCAGGCGGCGCCGAGTTCCGGTTCCCGCCTCGGTTCATTCTCCAATTCTTCCGACCGTGCGACCATTCGCTGTTATCGTCGTCATCGTCGTCGGAAGGTTCTGGGTCTCCCCCAACGTTTCCTCTTGGCGGGTTCTGGGGAGGTTGATTTCCACCATTCCCGCCGACGGGGCCAGCTCCCACCGGTTTCCTGCCACTATTTCCCTGCACCGGGCCGGCGTCCTCCGGTTGCCTGCCTCCATTTCCCCCTACAGGACCAGCATTTCCTCCTAATGGGCCAGTATTTTCAGGATTCTTGCCATTCCCAACAGGAACCGTTTGGGGTGCATTAGGGTCCAGGGGAATACTCACCATGGAGGGTGCTACCGACAAATGTTGTCGTAGACGTTCCTCCATCTCGGCTATTCGTTGGTTTCGGACGTCGTCGGACTGCTTAAATTGTGCCAACAGTTCCCGCTGTTCCCTTTTCTCCTGCTCTCGTTCTTCTCTTGCAACTCTCAGCTGTCGTTCCACTTCCAACAGTTGGTTCTGGGTAATTCGATGGTTACTGTCCAGAACCTCGTGGTCGGCGGCTCGTGCGGCTTCCTGCATTTGTCGAACATTTTCAACGAGCTTAAAGAGCGATTCGAGATGTTGCTTCTGGGCGATGGCTTCTTGCCGTACTTTCTTATCCAGGATCTGCCCACCCCCTTGCACTTGTTCCTGGAGGTTTTGTAGCTGCTGCCAAACGGCCTGTCCAGCTGTACCAAGATCCCTCATTTGTGCCTCATGGGTATCCAAAACTCCTGCATGGACCTCGTAAACTGGGCTTGAGCAGAGCGTTTACTCGTCGACCTAGTTTGTGTAGAGGGTTCTCTCTGGAGTAGAGGATCTGGGCTATCAGCCCTTGATATTACCATAGAATCTTCCCCTCCGGCCTCCTCAGTTACTGCCGAGGTATCTATGAAGTAATTATCCCTTATGGTAGTCATTGCAATTGGGGATAATGATGATAGTTCTTCTTTTTGAGGTGACTTCGTTACTCCAAGTGAACTTGTGAGTAACAATATACTGTGAGGGATGCGTACCAGACCACAAGAGTACACTACGCAGAGCTCAGAGTTCGGCTAACAGCTACAAAGGTAGGAGTCTCCAAGTTCTCTTCAGTCAACGTCGAGTATGAATCTCCTCGATCCGATACGGGCCCCGCGAGCTACGTTATCAACAAAGATTCACTAGAGTTAGTGTATAGGATTCGACCGTCTTCGACGTAATAGTTCAGGTAGAGTCCGAAGTCACAGTAGAGTAAAGTAATTCCAAAAGTATAGTCAAATAAAGTTGTAACTCACGTATCAATGATTTATATTGTTAAGACTCTGATTTCGCCGATGATGGTTTGGCTAGTCAGTGAATGACACAGTATTTATATCCCTCGCTTATGTCTCGAGGACCCAGTCTACTAATAATACAGTATACACTCGGGGCATGCCCGAGACCCTGAAAAACAACCCAGAACATTTAACTCCTAAGTCCGTAACCCAAACTCCTAAACCCGCTGAAACCCCTCAACCTATTTATCCACTCTAATGCACGTTTCCGTGTCGATGTTTCTTCTCCATCGGCCGTCTGGTGGATAATCGTCAGCGTCGGCTATTCGGAGGTCTCGGACGGCAAGGCTACCTACTAAGGCCTCTTCCCACATCGCTTTCCCACATAGCAGAGTCCTCTCATGCCCACAGGTACCGCCGATAGGTACTCGGTCGGCTGGTAGCTTGCGCCGATTCGCTCCGGGTGGTCCGATCTTCGATCCGATTGATTCCAGCTGTCCCTCATATATCCACCGGTCCAAAGGCACTCCCCTCCGGCGGTTTGACGCTCCGGGGGTTATTATTGGGGTCGAAAACGTGTTTTTTAACTAGGAAAACCGCAACTCCGCATTTGGTCGCATATTGATCGCACCGCACCTGTAACGGAGCCATTTCAACTGTCTGGTGTATGAGTACATACAGGGCCCGGTTACATGCTGAGAGTTATTGTTAGAAGCCAGTTGCACGGTGATATGCAAGTACCGGCAGTGTGGTTAGCTACCAGCTGTTAGAGTAACTACATTCCGGGCGCTAGGAAGGGGATCTATTCATGGGAGCAATGACTGACGAGTCTATGCCTCGCCAGTGTCTAGCAGACCGGCCGGAGTGAAGCTCTGATTCTCCGGTGATCCACTGTATCCTCTGAGCATTGTAGTTCCGCCGAAAGGCAGGGACTATGGTAGGGAAGTCTACAATAAGCGAAAGCTCTACAGCAATGATTAAGCTTACACCTGAGCGGCAGCTCATTCATGCAGGTCCTCGGTTGTGTGGCAACCAAGGCTGCAGGTGTTACAAAGGCTTTGACTAAGGGTGGTTGCCTTGGGTATCGGAAACACCTGCTGACGCTTAGAGAAAAGCGGGGTAGCGGTGGTATTGTTTCCGGTACTGAGGGAAGGCCCACCGGAACTTAGTAAAGGAGTTAGGAGCAGAGAATAGAGGCCTTCGGAGTATAAGTACTCAGGTTCATTCTCGCCCTTCAGTCCGGTTCTCTCCAGTCTTCATCAGAGAAGAAAACCAAGTTCTTATCGGTAGCAGAGCCCTTAAAGATTATTGAGTTCTAGCGATAGTATCTTTGAATAATCTGCAACCTGATTGTCTATCTTGCACGGCCGTCTCTATTCTATCTGCTTCTATTTCTCTTAGAAAAGACCCCCGTTACAGATAATCTTTTAGGCTCAAGTCACCTTTAGATTATTCTTCCTCTATACAAAATGTCCGCCCTCCCGGCTCCAGATGCACCCCTTCAGATTGAATGGCAGCCGGTGCCCCTCCAGCTTGATGCCACCGGGCAGACACAGCTTGTTAAGAAACCCAGGACCGCTCTACAGACCTACATTCCCAGTTGTGAGCCTGCCTGGCAGGATACCGACGAGGTTTCCATCCAACAGTTCTTCACAGAGCTTCAGACCTACCTCCAGCATAGCCTGCAGAATCAGTTGACCCGGGGCAGTCAGGCACTACTCCTTGTACAAGAGCGCCAGGCAGCACAGAATGCTCTGATGGCAGAAGCTCTTGAATACATGAGGCATGAAGTCAACTCTGTCCAGGAAGAACTCCGAAAGTATGCAGAGAGAGATGAACTGGAAGCCGATGCCATGGAGATTGAATGGACAAACCCGGCAACTCCACCAGACTTTGTTGCCGAGATACAGAAAGCCCTTGATGAAGGAAGGCTAATGGTAGGGAGACCAGCAACTCCGGCACCAAATCCAGGCTCCAGGTCCTCGTCCAGGGCAGCCACCAGGGCAATGCAGCGGAAGACCAGTCCCTTCGCAGCATTTCCGGTCAGATCCACTAGGAGAGTTGTTCCTATTGTCCAGCCAGCGGTGGGAGCATCTCCCTTACCTCCTAGTCGCTTTGCAGGAGTAAACCCATTCCTCAGATTAGCCGACCGATCCTTTGACTATGAGGGAGAACTCTACCCAGGAGCAGGCCGAGGACCTCCCAGCCCGCTAGCCAGGAACCCAGGAAGGTTCACCATGTCTGGGGCCGCTCAATCAGCAGCAACCTCACTACTGGCCAGCAATCTGGCGCCGGTAGCACCTGTGGCTCCTCCTGCTGCGGCCGCTGCTCCCCCTCCTGCTTAGGCACAGGGAGGAAGTGGCGGAAATCAGAACCCTCCAGCTCAGGCACAGGGAGGAAGTGGTGGAAATCAGAACCCTCCACCTCCAGTAGCCCGCGCTCCCACTCCAGGAGATTCAGACAGTTCTGACAGCTCAGACTCGGAACCAGAAGGTGGTGACAGAAGAGGCTGGCGGAGATACCTTAAGAAGAAGTTGGAGAAGCAACAGAAGAATCTGTTGGCGATGATGTCCCAGCAGTATCAACCTCCGGCCACCTCTCACCCTTCTACTTCCACCAGAGCTCGAGAACCAAAGGCACCACCACCCTTCAAGTTTCAGGGCAAGGCGGAGCAAGTGGAGACCTTCATCCGGCAATGTGAGAATGTGTTCTCCATTGAGAGCCTGTCATTTACCTCCGAGGAGGTCAAGATCCGATATGCAGGCAACTTGATGGAAGGCGAGGCAGCGATCCGATGGTATGAGGCATACCACAATTCAATTGATCAAGCCTCCGCCAACCGTCTTGCTGGAATGCCGGTGCAGTTGGATCAGAGATGGAAGCGTTGGGATTCCTTTGTGGATGCTTTTAGAGCTGCCTTCGGTGAAGCCATCTCTAGAGATGATGCTGTAGCCCAATGGAATACCCTCACCCACACAGCTCGAGGAGGAATAGACCTCTTCCTGAACACTATCATTCAGCTGATGTGGAAGACTGGCTATGAGGGTCAGTTGGTGGATGATAAGATTCATAATTCCCTCCTCCCGGACCTAGGCATGAGTTGGGCTCTTTTTAATCCTAAGCCAAAGTCCTTGATGGAGTGGATAGCTGCTCTAAGAGAGTTAGGGCACACCCATGAGAGGTACCAAGGGATGGCAGCTGAGAAAGCGCACCCTCGGACCAAGAAAGATCCTCCCGCTCAGAAGGACCAGCAGCCTAAGAGGAAAAGAGAAGCTGTGAGCTCCTCCGGACCTCAGAAGACTCCTGGACCTAAGGATAAAGCGGTGGAACTGAAGGGTATCCCGGGGGATATTCTAGAAGAAAGAAGGAAAGCAGAAGTATGCTTGAAGGTATGACCTTCCGGTACTCCCTATTGGTAGAGTGCATAGACTGACTTGTGCAATAGTGCGGCAAGTCCAGACACAAATGGACCGATTGTTGGTCAAAGGAACCTACTGTTGTCCGAGTGGTGGCAGTAAGAGTACAAAAGCGGAAAAGAGGAAATGGCAAGTCCAACTCTCAGAAGAAGGCTAAAGTGGCTGCTGTAGTAGCAGAAGATCCACTTGTTGTACTCCCCGAGGTTACAGAAGATTTTGTTTTTCAGCCTGAGCAAGACTCGGACAATGAAATCATCTGGTAGAAAAGTGTCTGTTTGGGTCTATGTTTACTAAGTTTTCTTTTATGGGTTTTCGGTTTCTATGTTTCTCTTGAAGAAATTTTTGATTGTGTTTCTGCCTATTTGATTGCTCCAAGCACTCTGAGGATGGGTTGAAGACCCGAAACAGCTGGTCTGTCAGTGCTCTACCAAAGTTATATTTTGCTACGAAGACACTTCCAGCCACTACCAAATTACTATACATCATACCTGCTATATTATCGCTTGGGAATAGAACCAAAGGATCTTTGATCTTAGTAGTGCCCGAAGCTATTAGCCATGTTGAAAAGACAAAGAGAAACGAGTGCAGAACCCACTGTCAAGCAAAGAAAGTTGGAACAGAGGCTTCCTTCTTTACCAGTACATGGAAAAAGACCTATACTGAAGGCAGGACTGTCATGGACGGTCAAAGGAAAGGATGAAAACGCCCAAGGGTGTTTCCTGTTTGACACGGGTTGTACAGGAGCAATCCTCAACCAGAGTTTTGTCAGGAAGCATGGAATTCCCTTAGTGCGGCGGGATCAACCTCTGACAATGCTTGATGCTCAAGGAGATGTCATGATGGGAGGAGGTGAGTATTATACTCATCCGGTCCGCATGACTATGGGAGATCATAAGGAGACACTCCGATGGGAGGTGGCTACTTTGGAAGAAGGAATGACCGGCTACCTGCCAATTAGTTGGGCTAGGAAGCTATCACGGGGACCGTAAGCGATACACTATAGTGCCAAGGAATACAACCTAGGTAGTGACGTAGATGTGGACGTAGACGTAAAGGTATGCTTTGACTATGGACTATGGGTGGCTCTACCTGGTATGATAAACCGATCAGAGCCCTATGACGTAGTGCGGACAAGAATAGTATTCGTAGAATAAATACAGAGGTTGCGTAAGGAAAGAAGAGAAGAAGGAAAACAGACAAAAACACAAGACAACGCCTCCTTATATATCCACCCATAATCCAACGATGACTAATACCTTCACGTAACAGAAACCAAAAGAATGTAATAGAAATCCCCATTACAAATCCTAATTCCACTGCACAATACCTCCTTCCCTCGTTCCAGTTTATCGCCTAGCCAAAAATACCTGATTGCCGTTACAGACCACGCCTCCCTCTAAGGCCTACCTCCTGGTAGGCTTAGGCTTTCCTGGATAACGCTCATGGAATCGTTTGACAATATCAGGTGAATGTTCAAGGTCTGATAGTGGTTGCCAGGAGGCTTCATCATATCCTCTATATCGTACCAAGTACTCAAACCTTCCTCTTCGTTTCCTCGAATCCAAAATATCTTCGACTTCCCATTCTTCTTCTCCTTCGATCTCAACCGGAGGTGGTGGTAACTGTTGTTGTCCCGGTAAAGGATCATTCGCAATAGGTCACAATAGTGAAACATGGAATACTGGGTGAATTTTCATTGACCGGGGAAGTTCCAACTCGTAAGCGTAGGGATTAACAATGCGCTTAACACTATAAGGTCCAATACGTTTCCAGTCGAATTTCTTGGAAGGTCGTTTGGTTAGAATATGACGAGTCGATAGGAAAACTTTATCTCCTAAATGGTACCGAGGAGCTGGAGTTCGATTCCTGTTGGCTGATTCTTCTTGTATCCTTTGCGCTCGAAACATCTCTTCTCTTAGGAAATCTACTACATCCTTCATTTCTCTTGCAATACGGTTCGCTTGATCCTCAGCCGTTGTTCGACCATGTTCCAAAGGGCCAAAAGTCATTCTCGGATTCCTTCCCGAATTGGCATAGAACGGGGAGACCTTTGTTGTTTCGGAAGCATGGTTGTTTGTCGCAAATTCGGCCATTGGTAGCATTCGAGCCCAATCATCTTGTTGGTAGGAAACATAACTTCGGAGGTACTGTTCCATTACGGCATTGATTCTTTCCGTTTGTCCATCTGTTTGGGGGTGAAATGCAGTAGAGAATTTTGGTGATATTTCCAACCGATTACAAAGCGACTTCCAGAATTCTGCAACGAACTGTGTTCCTCGATCAGATACAATGGTATCTGGTAGTCCATGCAGCTTCCAAACATAATCGATATATAGCTTTGCTACTTCCTTTGAGTCTGCCTCTTTGGTCGTTGGTATTAGATGTCGCATTTTGGTTAGTCTATCCACTACCACCAAAATCGCATTATACCCATCACTCTCAGGAAGATCAGTTACAAAATCCATCGAGACGTCTGTCCAGGGTCCATCGGGAATTGGCATGGGGCGAAGTACTCCATAAGGTGCATTGTGTGATGCCTTGCTACGGGTACACACATTGCAATTCCTAATATACTGATCGACGAACTTCCGCATCTGTGGCCAGTAATATTCTCGACTTAGGAGCTCCAGAGTCTTCGCTCTACCCGGATGTCCTGCAGATGGTTTATCATGGTATTCTTTTAAAAGCCTTAGTCGAAGGTCATCGTCGTCTGGTACATATAGCATGCCTCGATAAAGTAGCCGACCGTTATTATCTTCCGTACATTCGGCAAGCGAGATTTTATTTGAGTGGCGAACACCATTCCGAAGCATAGTGAGGATCTTATTTGGAAAACTATCGACTTGATAAGCTTTTGAAAATAATTCCTCTACAATAGACGCTCCTTCAGCGGATTCATTTGACAAAGAACCCGCGAACAAACTTAGCTTAGTATCCAAATTTTTTCGCTTCAAAATCACTTGACTCTGATGCGTCAACCGTTCATCCCCCTCTTTAGGTAGGTCACCTGACCTTCTAGTCAATGCATCTGGTTTTGTTCCTTGTTTTCCTGGCCGAAATTGTATAACGAAATCAAAGCGTGAAAGAAATTCGGACCAACGGGCTTGTCGACGATTTAACAATTTTGTTGTCATAAAATATTCAAGATTCCGATGATCGCTAAGAACTTCAATTGGAAATTGAGCTCCTTCTAGGTGATGTCGCCATTCTTCGAAGCATCGTATAATTGCTAAAAGTTCTTTGTCATAGATTTCGTAGTTACACTCTGCAGGAGAGTGTTTCTTGGAAAAGAAAGCGACTGGATGTAGAATTCCTTCGTTGTCACGTTGAGATAGAATTCCTGCTGAAACATAGTCGGATGCATCGGTTTCTATCACAATTTTTCGATCCGGATTGAAATGAGCTAGTATCGGTGCCGTTGTAAACATCTTTTTCAAAGTTTGAAATGCTTCCTCTCTTTCATTCGTCCATTCAAATTTAACGTTTTTCTTTGTCAAAGCTGTAAGCGGAGCAACAATTTTCGAATATCCTAGAATAAATCGTCGATAGAAATTTGCAAATCCTAGAAATACTTGGACATCACGAAGGTTTGTTGGTGTGGTCCATTCTAAAACATCGACGACTTTCTTTGGGTCCATTCTATTCCCATTCGGAGTAAGGATTAGACCAAGGTATTTTGTTTCTTGAACCATAAATTCACATTTTTCAGGTTTAAGGTGAACATGATTCTCATCAAGTACCTTCAGAACCTTTTGAATATGTTCTTTATGTTCTAATAGGGTCTCGGAATAGATAAGGATATCGTCTAAGTATGCCGTTACGAATTGATCGAGGTAGGGACGTAGAATGTCATTAATCCAATGTTGAAATGTGGCAGGAGCATTAGCTAATCCAAACGGCATTACTGTATATTCGAAATGTCCATATCGAGTCCGGAATGCTGTTTTCCATTCGTCCCCCTCCGCTATCCTGATTTGATTATTGTAACGGGGGTCCTTTCTAAGAGAAATAGATTTGTATAGAATAAAGACGGCCGTGCAAGATAGACAATCAGGTTGCAGATTATTCAAAGATACTATCGCTAGAACTCAATAATCTTTAAGGGCTCTGCTACCGATGAGAACTTGGTTTTTCTTTCTGATGAAGACTGGAGAGAATAGGACTGAAGGGCGGGAATGAACCTGAGTACTTATACTCCGAAGGCCTCTGTTCTCTGCTCCTAACTCCTTTACTAAGTTCCGGTGGGCCTTCCCTCAGTACCGGAAACAATACCACCGCTACCCCGCTTTTCTCTAAGCGTCAGCAGGTGTTTCCGATACCCAAGGCAACCACCCTTAGTCAAAGCCTTTGTAACACCTGCAGCCTTGGTTGCCACACAACTGAGGACCTGCATGAATGAGCTGCCGCTCAGGTGTAAGCTTAATCATTGCTGTAGAGCTTTCGCTTATTGTAGACTTCCCTAGCATAGTCCCTGCCCTTCGGCGGACTTATAATGCACCGAGGATACAGAGGATCACCGGTCAATCAGAGCTTCACTCTGGCCGGTCTTCTAGTCACTGGCGAGGCATAGACTCGTCAGTCATTGCTCCCATGAATAGATCCTCTTCCTAGCGCCCGGAATGTAGTTACTCTAACAGCTGGTAGCTAACCACACTGCCGGTACTTGCATATCACCGTGCAACTGGCTTCTAACAATAGCTCTCAGCATGTAACCGGGCCCTGTGTGTACTCATACACCAGACAGTTGAAATGGCTCCGTTACACCACTCCCCTCTTCCAGGATCTTGGTCTCCGAGATCTATAACCATTCTATTACCATTCTATATGACAAGAAACTCCGTGATATGCAAGGAAATGAAAACCCAAAGGAAATAATCTACACCCCAACAATCCGCTTGTCCTTGGGTTTCTTAGGATACCTCATATGGAAATCCCGAAGGGCTTCTTCAGCACTCTTCTTGAGATGCTCCCAAGGTTCCCATGTAGCATCCTCGTTCTCATAACCTTCCCACAGCACTAGATATTCCACTCGTCTTCTCTTCTTATTGAACCGGCTATCAGCTACCTCTCGGACAACCCAGTTCTGTTCTCCCTCAACCTCTTCGGGTTCCGGTGGGGGAACTCTTCTCTCAGGATCTACCGGTGCTCTGTAGGGTTCTAGGAGAGAGACGTGAAAGACCGGGTGGATTCCCATCTGGGGGGGAAGAGAGAGCTTGTAGGCACGGGTACCAATAGCTTCTAAGACCTTAAAGGGTCCCATCTTCTTCTGATCCAATTTTCCCAAAGGCCGCTTTGTTTGCACATTGCGCCGGTCCAACATAACTTCATCTCCGGGCTTGATTTCAGGTGGTGCCAGGGCATGAGCATCATACCACCGGGCCATCCTTAATCTAGCTTTACCCAAGCTGGCGTTCATAGCCTGCCAGATAGATTCCCATTGAGAAATCATGACCTCACTTGCTGGATTGTTCCATTCTACTCCTTCCTTTGGGGCCGGCCAGTTGGTCCTGGGTTCATATCCATAGTTGGCATAAAAAGCCGATACTTTGGTAGACTCAGAGACCGCCGAGTTATAAGCATACTCTGCCAAAGGCAAGAGTTCTGCCCAGTCATCCTGTTGATATGAACAATAACTCCGCAAGTAATGTTCCAGGGTCTGATTAACTCTTTCTGTTTGACCGTCCGTCTGGGGGTGGAAAGATGTGGACATCTTCAGCTTCACATTGAGGAGGCTCATGAGAGATTGCCAAAAGTGAGAAATGAACCTGCTATCTCTGTCCGAGACTATGTCATCAGGCAAACCATGGAGTCTCCAAACTTCCTTCAAGAACAATTTAGCCAAATCTTCCGTTTTATTGAGGGTAGGAAGAGGGATGTAGTGTGCCATCTTCGAAAAGCGGTCCACTATTACCCAGATCTTTGTAAACCCACTAGATTCCGGTAGTCCCACAATGAAGTCCATAGAGATGGAAGTCCATGGCCGATAGGGTATCTCCAACGGTTGGAGCATACCAAACTTCTTGTGTCTTGAGGTCTTATTCCTCTGGCAGCTGTCACAGCTCCGGACATATTCCTCAACATCCTTATCCATGTTGGGCCAAAAGAAGTTATTTTTCACCCGCTCTAGTGTCTTAAATTGGCCAAAATGACCAGCCACCTTAGAGTCATGGGTATCGGACAGTATTTCCATCTGAAGCTTCTTGTCCTTGGGTATGTACCATCTATTCTTGTAGAAGATGAGACCGTTCTTGACCGACAAGTTCTGGTCCAAATTTGGTTTCCTTTCAACCAGGGAGCGGTGCAATTCCTGCCAGAAACTATCCTCTTTAGCAGCCGTGTATAGGCGCTCTAAGAATGTATTCTGCAATTGATTCACCCTGACAGCCCCTAGCTTTGCAGGATCCAAAACCAATTGACCTGGCCTAAAAAAGATCTGTGGCTCCGGCTGCAGAGTTTCACCTCCCTCTCCAAGGCGGTGATCCCAGCGCCTAGATAGCACATCAGTCTTGCCATTCTTTTCTCCCGGTCTGTAGACAACTTTAAAATTGTAGCCTGCGAGGTCCTCAGACCATCTAGCTTGCCGCCTAGTGAGAACCTTGGTAGAATTAAAGTACTCCAAGTTCTTGTGGTCTGTAAAAACCGTGATCTCTTGCTCACAAGATTTGAGCATGTGTTCCCATTCCCGGAAAGAGGCTACAATAGCTCCCATTTCCTTATCATGAATGTCATAGTTGATCTCAGCAGGGGAGAACTTCTTAGAATAGAATGCCACCGGATGTAGCTTCCCATCATCCCCATACTGAGAGAGCACCGCTCCCTTGGCAAAATCACTGGCATCTGTCTCGACCACCGTTCTCCTACTAGGGTCAAAATGAAGGAGGATTGGAGCGCTTGTAAACAGCCTCTTGAGTTCTTCAAAGGCCTGCTCATGTGCTGCTGTCCAATACCATTTCTTGTCTTTTTGTAGGAGGTCAGTTAGTGGTTTGCAAACCTTACTGAAGCCTTCAATAAAGCGGCGATAGAAGTTTGCAAATCCGAGGAATGCCTGTACTGCCTTGATATTCTCAGGGACCGGCCATTCCTTAACTGCCTCCACCTTGTCTTCTGACATAGATACTCCTTGTTCCGAGATATGATAGCCTAGGTATTCTACTTCTCGGACATGGAAGGATGTCTTATTGATCGAGGCACAGAGCTTAGCTTCCCTAAGCTTCTGTAGTACCTTCTTGACCAATAGCTCATGCTCTTTCTCAGTCTCCGAGTAGATGAGGATGTCATCGATATAGACAACTACTCCTTCATCCAGTAGTTCCTTTAGCACATCATTGATCATTGCCTGGAAAGCGGAGGGAGCATTGCATAGGCCAAATGGCATCACATTGTACTGATACAGTCCATAGCGGGTTCTGAAAGCGGTTTTCCACTCATCACCTTCGGCTATCCTGATCAAATTGAAGCCATTCTTCAGGTCTATCTTTGTGAAGATCTTGGCCTTGAACAACCTGTCTCTGAGCTCACTCATGATAGGCAGCGGGTACTTGTCCTTGACAGTGACCTTGTTCAAACCTCTATAATCCACACAAATCCGCAAAGTCCCGTCCTTCTTAGGAATGAACAGTATGGGTGCCGCAGCAGGGCTATTCGATCTAGAGATCTTTCCTGAAGACAACTCTTTGTCCAGGTACTCTCGGAGGGCCTTCAACTCTGGAGCGGAGCATGGGTATAGCGGGCCAAATGGGGGAGCGGTCCCAGGCAAGAGTTTGATCTTCAGATCATTATGGGAATGCGGCGGCATTTCCTCAATCTTCTCTTGACTGAACACATCAGCCCAATCCCGGTATAGGTGGTGTATTTTCTCGGCAATATCACCTCCGTCCTCATCATGCCATACTGAACCAACCAATTGATAGACTGTCTCTTCTTCTTCCAACATTTGGTATGGAGAGATCAGTTCAATCTTGGTGGCCGCTGGGAGACAATTCTGCTTGCAGTAGTCACTCCTCCAGCTCATGGTGTTGAGTTCCCAGTTGATGTCCGGGTTATGCTTCCTAGCCCAACTAATTGGCAGGTAACCGGTCATTCCTTCTTCCAGTGTAGCCACCTCCCATCGGAGTGTCTCTTTATGATCTCCCATAGTCATGCGGACCGGGTGAGTGTAATACTCGCCTCCTCCCATCATGACATCTCCTTGAGCATCAAACATTGTCAGAGGTTGATCCCGCCGCACTAAGGGAATTCCATGTTTCCTGACAAAACTCTGGTTGAGGATAGCTCCTGTACAACCGGTGTCAAACAGAAAAGACCCTTGGGCGCCTTCATCCTTTCCTTTGACCGTCCATGACAGTCCTGCCTTTAGTATAGGTCTTTTTCCATGTACTGGTAAGGAGGGAAGCCTCTGTTCCAACCTTCTTTGCTTAACAGCGGGTTCTGAACTTGTTTCTCTTTGTCTTTTCAACATAGCTAATAGCTTCGGGCACTACTAAGATCAGAGATCCTTTGGTTCTATTCCCAAGCGGTAATATAGCAGATATATTGTGTAGTAGTCTTTTTAGCAGTGGTTTGGAAGTGTCTTGGTAACAAAATGTAACTTTGGTAGAGCACTGACAGACCAGCTGTTTCGGGTCTTAAACCCATCCTCAGAGTGCTTGGAGCAATCAAATAGGCGGAAACACAATCATAATTTATTCAAGAGAAACATAGAAACCAAAAACCCATATAAAAGAAAACTAGTAAACATAGACTAAAACAGACACTTTTTCTACCAGATGATTTCATTGTCCGAGTCTTGCTCAGGCTGAAAAACAAAATCTTCTGTAACCTCCGGGAGTACAACAAGTGGATCTTCTGCTACTACAGCAGCCACTTTAGCCTTCTTCTGAGAGTTGGATTTCCCATTCCCTCTTTTCCGTTTTTGTACTCTCACTGCTGCCACTCGGACAACAGTAGGTTCCTTGGACCAACAATCGGTCCATTTGTGTCTGGACTTGCCGCACTATTGCACAAGTCAGTCTATGCACTCTACCAATAGGGAGTACCGGAAGGTCATACCTTCAAGCATACTTCTGCTTTCCTTCTTTCTTCTAGAATATCCCCCGGGATACCCTTCAGTTCCACCGCTTTGTCTTTAGGTCCTGGAGTCTTCTGAGGTCCGGAGGAGCTCGCAGCTTCTCTTTTCCTCTTAGGCTGCTGGTCCTTCTGAGTGGGAGGATCTTTCTTGGTCCGAGGGTGCGCTTTCTCAGCTGCCATCCCTTGGTACCTCTCATGGGTATGCCCTAACTCTCTTAGAGCAGCTATCCGCTCCATCAAGGACTTTGGCTTGGGGTTGAAAAGAGCCCAACTCATGCCTAGGTCCGGAAGGAGGGAGTTATGGATCTTATCATCCACCAACTGACCCTCATAGCCAGTCTTCCACATCAGCTGAATAATAGTATTCAGGAAGAGGTCTATTCCTCCTCGAGCTGTGTGGGTGAGGGTATTCCATTGGGCTACAGCATCATCTCTAGAGATGGCTTCACCGAAGGCAGCTCTAAAAGCATCCACAAAGGAATCCCAGCGCTTCCATCTCTGATCCAACTGCACCGGTATTCCAGCAAGGCGGTTGGCGGAGGCTTGATCAATTGAATTGTGGTATGCCTCATACCATCGGATCGCTGCCTCCCCTTCCATCAAGTTGCCTGCATATCGGATCTTAACCTCCTCAGAGGTAAATGACAGGCTCTCAATGGAGAACACATTCTCACATTGCCGGATGAAGGTTTCCACTTGCTCCGCCTTGCCTTGGAACTTTGATGGTGGTGGTGCCTTTGGTTCTCGAGCTCTGGTGGAAGTAGAAGGGTGGGAGGTGGTCGGAGGTTGATACTGCTGGGACATCATTGCCAACAGATTCTTCTGTTGCTTCTCCAACTTCTTCTTAAGGTATCTCCGCCAACCTCTTCTGTTATTACCTTCTGGTTCCGAGTCTGAGCTGTCAGAATTATCCGAATCTCCTGGGATGGGAGCACGGGCTGCTGGAGGTGGAGGGTTCTGATTTCCGCCACTTCCTCCTTGTGCCTGAGGTGGAGGGGGAGCAGCGGCCGCAGCAGGAGGGGCCACAGGTGCTACTGGTGCCGGGTTGCTAGCCAGTGGTGAGGTTGCTGCTGGTTGAGCAGCCCCAGACATGGTAAACCTTCCTGGGTTCCTGGCTAGCGGACTAGGAGGTCCTCGGCCTGCACCTGAGAAGAACTCTCCTTCATAGTCAAAGGATCGGTCGGCTCCTCCAAGGAGTGGATGTGTTCCACCGAAGCGGCTAGGTGGTAAGGGTGAAGCCCCCACCGCTGGCTGTACAATAGGGATAACTCTCCTAGTGGATCGGACCGGAAATGCTGCAAAGGGGCTGGTCTTCCGCTGCATTGTTCTGGTAGCTGCTCTGGAAGAGGACCTGGAGACTGAAAGTGGTGCCGGAGTTGCTGGTCTACCCACCACCAACCTTCCTTCATCAAGAGCTCTCTGTATCTCGGCAACAAAGTCTGGTGGAGTGGCCGGATTTGTCCACTCAATCTCCATGGCATCAACATCGGCATTTAGTTCATCTCTTTCTGCATACTTCCGGAGCTCTTCCTGAACAGAGTTGACTTCCGACCTCATGTACTCTAGAGCTTCTGCCATCAGAGCATTCTGTGCTGCCTGGCGCTCTTGTACAATGAGCAGTGCCTGACTGCCTCGGTTCAACTGACTCTGCAAGCTATGCTGGAGGTAGGTCTGAAGCTCTGTGAAGAACTGTTGTAAGGGAACCTCATCGGTATCCTGCCAGGCAGGCTCACAGCCGGGAATATAGGCCTGTAGAGCGGTCCTGGGTTTCTTAACAAGCTGTGTCTGCCCGGTGGCATCAAGCTGGAGGGGCACCGGCTGCCATTCAATCTGAAGGGGTGCATCTGGAGCCGAGAGGGCGGACATTTTGTATAGAGGAAGAATAATCTGAAGGTGACTTGAGCCTTAAAGATTATCTGTAACGGGGGTCCTTTCTAAGAGAAATAGATTTGTATAGAATAAAGACGGCCGTGCAAGATAGACAATCAGGTTGCAGATTATTCAAAGATACTATCGCTAGAACTCAATAATCTTTAAGGGCTCTGCTACCGATGAGAACTTGGTTTTTCTTTCTGATGAAGACTGGAGAGAATAGGACTGAAGGGCGGGAATGAACCTGAGTACTTATACTCCGAAGGCCTCTGTTCTCTGCTCCTAACTCCTTTACTAAGTTCCGGTGGGCCTTCCCTCAGTACCGGAAACAATACCACCGCTACCCCGCTTTTCTCTAAGCGTCAGCAGGTGTTTCCGATACCCAAGGCAACCACCCTTAGTCAAAGCCTTTGTAACACCTGCAGCCTTGGTTGCCACACAACTGAGGACCTGCATGAATGAGCTGCCGCTCAGGTGTAAGCTTAATCATTGCTGTAGAGCTTTCGCTTATTGTAGACTTCCCTAGCATAGTCCCTGCCCTTCGGCGGACTTATAATGCACCGAGGATACAGAGGATCACCGGTCAATCAGAGCTTCACTCTGGCCGGTCTTCTAGTCACTGGCGAGGCATAGACTCGTCAGTCATTGCTCCCATGAATAGATCCTCTTCCTAGCGCCCGGAATGTAGTTACTCTAACAGCTGGTAGCTAACCACACTGCCGGTACTTGCATATCACCGTGCAACTGGCTTCTAACAATAGCTCTCAGCATGTAACCGGGCCCTGTGTGTACTCATACACCAGACAGTTGAAATGGCTCCGTTACAATTATATCCCCAACGTAAATCCAACTTTGTATAGTATTTTGCTCTTGACAAATTAGCTAGGGTTTCCTTTAACAATGGTAACGGATATCGATTTTTGATTGTGATCGCATTTAGGCCTCGATAGTCAACACAAAGTCGAAGAGTTCCATCGTTTTTCTTTACGAACAATATAGGTGCTCCCGCTGGTGATTCACTGGCTCGAATGAATCCTTTAAGTAAATTTTCATCAAGATATTCCCGTAGTGCTTTCAACTCAATTTGAGACAACCCATATATAGGTCCATATGGTGGTCGTTTACCTTCTTCCAGTATTATTTCGATGTCGTGGGATGGTCGATGTGGTGGAAGAATTGAAGCATTGTATTCTTTAAACATATGGAGACGATGGTGAAATTCCTTCGGTACTAGTTGTTCAATGTCGACAATAGATTTTTCAGTTGCTGAAACGATGACCGTGTGGTATTCTGGTAAGGGAATTGAAATGCCGTAGACAATTACTGCAGTTCCACTGAGTGAACAGTGTTGACAACAGCTTTGAGAGTCAAAAATAAGTAGATTTTCTTTTGGTCGAATCGTAACATCATGTCGTCGCATCCAAGGTATCCCCATCACAATCGGATAGTGTCCTAACTTCGTTACAAAACATGGCACAACTTCCCGATGACCATGAATGTCTAGCGAGACATCGACAATATGGGTAATTTTTCCTGATTTGATAGGCCTTCCATCTATAACGTCTACATGGCGAGGTATTTTGAGGGGGGTCATTGTAAGATTGTTGTGGCGTACAAAAGATTCATCAATAAAAGCATATCCTGATGCTCCGGTATCAATAAGAGCGTAGGTAGGTATGAAAGAATTTTTATTCTGTGAAATCGAACAAGTTACTACAAGTTGATTTCCGTCCATTTCCTCCTCAGATACCGAAAAACCAGAAATACACATCATAGAAAAATCCTTAAATGGTCCCTGGGCTAAGCCACTTAGTGCAGGGACAAATCTTTTGCCGACTCGTTATCGCTTCCGTCATTTTCTTCCACTGTCAATGCCGCTCCTCTCATCACAGGCCTTCTTGGTTGATTTCCAGTTGCCCTCGCTTGGGGGCAATCCCTAACCATATGTCCAACACCTCCGCAATAGAAACATCGGCCCTCAACTAAGCGGGCATTTCTTTCGGTAGGGGAGGGGCGACGACGTCCTCCAGATAGATCCATTGGTACATCACCTCCCGGGCGGGATGAGGGATGACTTTCAGTAACGGGTGCATTGGCGACTGGGGCAGCAGCACGAGGAGTAGAAACAGGCTGTGGTGGAGGACGAGGGGCCGGAGTAGTAGTAGTCCAAGGTTTTTTACTTCCTCGCTTAGCTTCTGCCGCTCGACGACGATTATCCAACCGTTGTAGAAGTGTCGCACAGGCATTTACTGTCGCGGGAGTGTCATGGTGTATCATTGATTCATCGAGTTCCGCATTAACACCTTCCATCAAAGCCTCAACCCGAGAGACTTCATCCATACCCGACTCAGCAGCATATCGTTGGAACTCAGCGAAATAATCGGCGAACGTTCGATTTCGTTGACGGATGTTCCTAAGATTCCTCCTAGCCGTACGCATCCGATCGGGGTCCCCAAAAGCAGTGTCCAAAACCTCATAAAATCGTAGCATAGAGGGCAAAGCAATGCCTTCTTCACCGATGTATTGTAAAAACTGATTAGCGGCAACGCCTTCCAATCTGCTGAATGCATAAGACAGTTTGGACTGTAGTGTGGGATAGTGATCGGCATTTCCCAATAACTTAATCTTCATTTGTTGCTTAAACAGGTGTAGTCTTTCTCGATCACGATCCCCCTTGAATACTTCAGGATCTGGGAGCTTCTCCGACCGATAGATGGTATCTGTAGCGGGTGGTACTGGGGGTGCAGGTGGAACATTGTCTTCGACGGGTGCTTGCACAGGGGCGACAGTCTCAACAGGAGTCTGTTGAGCTCGGGCAGCAGCAAGATCTTGCTCAAACCTTCTCCTCGCACTCTCGGCCTCCGCTTCTACCTCCTGTAAATCCGTTGCATATTGAGCAAGACCATGTCGGCACTGTTGGAGAAGTGCATAGGCTTCAGTTCCAACAGTATCATCGACTCGTGGATGCGCTTGAAAAAGGGCTTGGAGACTATCGCTGAGTTGTTGATAATCAATAGGTGCATGTTCCGACATTGTAAACTATGGTATTGTATTGGTTGGCGATAGAGGACGCAACCTACGTATCACGGGGACCGTAAGCGATAGACTATAGTGCCAAGGAATACAACCTAGGTAGTGACGTAGATGTGGACGTAGACGTAAAGGTATGCTTTGACTATGGACTATGGGTGGCTCTACCTGGTATGATAAACCGATCAGAGCCCTATGACGTAGTGCGGACAAGAATAGTATTCGTAGAATAAATACAGAGGTTGCGTAAGGAAAGAAGAGAAGAAGGAAAACAGACAAAAACACAAGACAACGCCTCCTTATATATCCACCCATAATCCAACGATGACTAATACCTTCACGTAACTGAAACCAAAAGAATGTAATAGAAATCCCCATTACAAATCCTAATTCCACTGCACAATACCTCCTTCCCTCATTCCAGTTTATCGCCTAGCCAAAAATACCTGATTACCGTTACAGAAGCATAACCCGGACATCAACTGGGAACTCAACACCATGAGCTGGAGAAGTGACTACTGCAAGCAGAATTGTCTCCCAGCGGCCACCAAGATTGAACTAATCTCTCCATACCAAATGTTGGAAGAAGAAGAGACAGTCTATCAATTGGTTGGTTCAGTATGGCATGATGAGGACGGAGGTGATATTGCTGAGAAAATACACCACCTATACCGGGATTGGGCTGATGTGTTCAGTCAAGAGAAAATTGAGGAAATGCCGTCGCATTCCGATAATGATTTGAAGATCAAACTCTTGCCTGGCACCGCTCCCCCATTTGGCCCACTGTACCCATGTTCCGCTCCAGAGTTGAAGGCCCTCCGAGAGTACCTGGACAAAGAATTGTCTTCAGGAAAGATCTCTAGAAGTAACAGCCCTGCTGCGGCGCCCATACTGTTCATTCCTAAGAAGGATGGGACATTGCGGATTTGTGTGGATTATAGAGGTTTGAACAAGGTCACTGTCAAGGACAAGTACCCGCTACCTATCATGAGTGAGCTCAGAGACAGGTTGTTCAAGGCCAAGATCTTCACAAAAATAGACCTGAAGAACGGCTTCAATTTGATCAGGATAGCAGAAGGTGATGAGTGGAAAACCGCTTTCAGAACCCGCTATGGACTGTATCAGTATAATGTGATGCCGTTTGGTATATGCAACGCTCCCTCCGCTTTCCAGGCAATGATCAATGATGTGCTAAAGGAACTACTGGATGAAGGAGTAGTTGTCTATATTGATCACATCCTCATCTACTCGGAGACTGAGAAAGAGCATGAGCTATTGGTCAAGAAGGTACTACAGAAGCTTAGGGAAGCTAAGCTCTGTGCATCGATCAGTAAGACATCCTTCCATGTCCGAGAAGTAGAATACCTAGGCTATCACATCTCGGAAGAAGGAGTATCTATGTCAGAAGACAAGGTGGAGGCAGTTAAGGAATGGCCGGTCCCTGAGAATATCAAGGCAGTACAGGCATTCCTCGGATTTGCAAACTTCTATCGCCGCTTTATTGAAGGCTTCAGTAAAGTTTGCAAACCATTAACTGACCTCCTGCAAAAGGACAAGAAATGGTATTGGACGGCAGTGTTACGGGCATGTCAAGCATTTACGGAAGTAAGAGAAAAGGCCAGTAGATACCCCAAGACTCTCTGTACGCTAATATCAACTCCGGTTCGCACCCACGAGGTGCGGTGCGATCAATATGCGACCAAATGCGGAGTTGCGGTTTTCCTAGTTAAAAAACACGTTTTCGACCCCAATAATAACCCCCGGAGCGTCAAACCACCGGAGGGGAGTGTTTTGGTACCGGTGGATATATGAGGGACAGCTGGAATCAATCGGATCGAAGATCGGACCGCTCGGAGCGAATCGGCGCAAGCTGCCAGCCGACCGAGTACCTATCGGCGGTACCTGTGGGCATGAGAGGACTCTGCTATGTGGGAAAGCGATGTGGGAAGAGGCCTGAGTAGGTAGCCTTGCCGTCCGAGACCTCCGAAGAGCCGACGCTGACGATTATCCACCAGACGGCCGATGGAGAAGAAACATCGACAGGGAAACGTGCATTAGAGTGGATAAATAGGTTGAGGGGTTTTAGCGGGTTTAGGAGTTTGGGTTACGGACTTAGGAGTTATATGTTCTTGGTTGTTTTTCAGGGTCTCGGGCATGCCCCGAGTGTATTCTGTATTATTAGTAGACTGGGTCCTCGAGACATAAGCGAGGGATATAAATACTGTGTCATTGTAACGGGGGTCCTTTCTAAAAGAAATAGATTTGTATAGAATAGAGACGGCCGTGCAAGATAGACAATCAGGTTGCAGATTATTCAAAATTCTATCGCTAGAACTCAATAATCTTTAAGGGCTCTGCTACCGATAAGAACTTGGTTTTCTTTCTGATGAAGACTGGGGAGAACCGAACTGAAGGGCGAGAATGAACCTGAGTACTTATACTCCGAAGGCCTCTATTCTCTGCTCCTAACTCCTTACTAAGTTCCGGTGGGCCTTTCCTCAGTACCGGAAACAATACCACCGCTACCCCGCTTTTCTCTAAGCGTCAGCAGGTGTTTCCGATACCCAAGGCAACCACCCTTAGTCAAAGCCTTTGTAACACCTGCAGCCTTGGTTGCCACACAACCGAGGACCTGCATGAATGAGCTGCCACTCAGGTGTAAGCTTAATCGTTGCTGTAGAGCTTTCGCTTATTGTAGACTTCCCTAGCATAGTCCCTTCTTCTTCGGCGGACATACAATGCTCCGAGGATACAGAGGATCACCGGGCAATCAGAGCTTCACTCTGGCCGGTCTTCTAGACACTGGCAAGGCATAGACTCGTCAGTCATTGCTCCCATGAATAGACCCCCTTCCTAGCGCCCGGAATGTAGTTACTCTAACAGCTGGTAGCTAACCACACTGCCGGTACTTGCATATCACCGTGCAACTGGCTTCTAACAATAACTTTCAGCATGTAATCGGGCCCTGTGTGTACTCATACACCAGACAGGTGAAATGGCTCCGTTACAGTCATTCACTGACTAGCCAAACCATCATCGGCGAAATCAGAGTCTTAACAATATAAATCGTTGATACGCGAGTTACAACTTTATCTGACTATACTTTTGGAAACACTTTACTCTATCGTGACTTCGAACTCTACCTGAACTATTACGTCGAAGACGGTCGAACATCATACGCTAACTCTAGTGAATCTTTGTTGATAACGTAGCTCGCGGGGCCCGTATCGGATCAAGGAGAATCATACTCAACGTTGACTGAAGAGACCTTGGAGACTTCTACCTTTGTAGCTGTTAGCCGAACTCTGAGCTCTGCGTAGTGTACTCTTGTGGTCTGGTACGCATCCCTCACAGTCAGCACATGAGCAGGCCTTTGAAGAACTCAAGAGGCTGTTCACAAGCGCTCCAATCCTTCTTCATTTTGACCCTAGTAGGAGAATGGTGGTCAAGACAGATGCCAGTGATTTTGCCAAGGGAGTGGTGCTCTCTCAGTATGGGGATGATGGAAAGCTACATCCGGTGGCATTCTATTCTAAGAAGTTCTCCCCTGCTGAGATCAACTATGATATTCATGATAAGGAAATGGGAGCTATTGTAGCCTCTTTCCGGGAATGGGAACACATGCTCAAATCTTGTGAGCAGGAGATCACGGTTTTTACAGACAAAAAGAACTTGGAGTATTTTAATTCTACTAAGGTTCTCACT